CACTGATTCGGCAAGGAGGCTGGGCTCGAGACATCTGCGAGCAGATTTGGAAGCCGGGCTGCGCTTGAAGGGAGGCTAGGCCGAATCTTCCAAGGGAGGCTACTGGGCTTCGTGAGCATCCTTACGGTGTGAGCACCGTTTCGGCAAGGAGTTTGGCCTTGAGTCAGGCCTTGGGGCCGGGCCATTGTGGCTGGGACTGTGGCACGGCTCAGAGCCGGGCTCTCCGTTGAGGTGCGTAATGTTGATGAGCCTTCCAATTGTTTCTGCACGCTCCTTGCCGTTCGGCAAGGAGGACTTGGTTTGGTTTGGGGGTGGGAGCCAGGGTCTGATTTTGCTGGTGTTTTTTTGTTTGTTTTTGTTTTGGGCTCAAGTCTTGCTGAAACCAAAATAGGTGCTGAGCTGGAAATTGTAATTTCGATCTTAACCAATGGTTCTTTGTTGACAATAGGAATATAAAAGAATAAAGGATCTATTAAGACCCCAAATACACATGATGCAAAAAATGGCCCCTTCCACTTTGGAAGAAATGGCCGAACTAGATAAAAAATGCTCTGTACTATTTTTCGCCATTTTCTACTTGATCTATGCCCTTCATTTACAGTAGAAGATTCCTCAACTGCCCAACTGAAGACACATCATAAACAACATATCAAAATCAGGTACTATAAATATAGATAAATGAAGCCCTAATTAACTTTTCTATGATATAATATGGACCCATGCGTTCTTTCGTTTTTGTTGATGCTCTTTTTCGGAGAGGGTCAACTTAGAGAAAAAGGGATTTGCCTTCAGCAGGGAAAGGGTCTGGGCCTTCAATAAAGGCTAGCCTGCAGAAGACAAAAATAGGGGAAGCAGTCGTCAAGCTCCGGGCACCGGTGTGGTGCCGGCCGAAGGCTCTCCGATGCTTAAGTCAGCTAAGAAGGGTAACTTTTGCAGAGTAATAGTAAAAGGCAGGAAAGTAATTACCCCTCTTACTAGGGTACTGTTCCCTTTTTATAGGGAAGTGAAAGTGGGAGGTTGGTGTAGATTTCCGATGTGGGACTCTGTGCAAGTTGCCGCGGTGGTGACACGTGTCATGAGAATTAGGTTTAACAGTTTGTGAGCTTGGGCAGTCGGGAGTTTCGGCAGGTGCTTGGCACCTCGGAAGAGTGTCTTCCTTCGGCAAGAGAGAAGGCGTGTCTGCCTTGGTGCTAGTTGTTTTGAGACTGGATATGCTCGGTTGATTATGGTGTAAACAATATTAATGCGTTGCAAGAGTCTTCGAACACTCATCCTCTCGTATTCGTTTAAAGGCGAGGAAATGCCAGCTGATAGTGGTATGGTTGATTTTGATGGATTCCAAAATCTTCGATATCTGACTTTGTATCATTGTGAGCTCACTGGTCAAATGCCTCTTTGGTTATCCAAACTCAAGAATCTAGAGATCTTGAGTCTGAAAGGTAATCGAATTACAGGGCCAATTCCTAGTTATTTGGGGACTCTTCCAAATCTCTTTTGCATAAGCTTGGCTGACAACCTAATTTCAGGTGAATTTCCAAAAGAACTTTGTCGACTGCCAAGGTTGGTGCATGAACCTACTGCAGCTCAAGTAGTAGACGATTATCTTGAATTGCCTATCTTCACTGCTGCAGCCCAAAATCCAATCTTTTACCCTCGCAGGTTGTCTAACTTCGCACCAGCAATAGACCTATCTCTCAATCACATTAATGGCAGAATACCTTCTGAGATCGGAAAAATGCGTCTTCTCCACATTTTGGATCTTAGCATCAATAACTTCTCCGGCAACATTCCAAATGAAATATCCAACCTAAAAAATTTAGAGAATTTAAGCCTCTCTATGAATCATTTGTCTGGACAAATCCCGTCGTCATTGGCGAGCCTCAGTTTCTTAAAATCTTTTAATGTCTCATACAATGATCTCGAAGGACCAATCCCAACAGGCACTCAGCTCCAAACTTTGAATGCTTCTGAATTTAAGGGGAACTCAAAACTTTGTGGTTCTCCACTTCCAAATGAGTGTCTAAACAAGAGCATCAATGTAGATAATAAAAACCACCTAGTTTTGGACAATGAGCATCAAATTCCATGGTTTTATATTTTTTTCGAGTTAGGTTTCATTGTAGGATTTTGGGGAGTATGTGGTTCTTTAATTATTAAGAAGACATGGAGATACACGTATTTTCAATTCGTAGACAATTTACAAGATAGGCTCTATGTGATGATGACAGTGCACATGAGAAGAAGGCTTAGAGGCTAGATTGTACTTTTATTTACAAGTTCATTTTTCTTTTGTAACTAGACTGTGTATATATGTAGGGACATGTTCTCTTGCCAAACAGAACATATTCCATATAGAATATACTAAAGAATAAAAAGCTGTTTTTGGAACAACGAAGTATTCATCATGCAATCATCCCAAATGAATGAAAATAGATAAATAAAAGAAAGAGTGCATGATGACTACTAATTGGAAGTACTATGTGCCGTCTGGAATAAGAAAAAGGAGACATAACCTAGTCTTGTGAATTGCCCAGTATTGGTGTAGGATATAAATTGTCTGCGGCTATGGCTTATATGTAAGAAAGTTAACGCTCCCTCGGAACCGGTGTGCAAAGGAAGTACGCACGCTAAGACTTGTGGACAACCAAAGACTAACCAAACACACTAATTAGAACAAGAACGCTGAAGAAAATCAAGAAACTATGCAAAGAAACTAGTTGATGCAGGATGTATAGGACCTAAATTGTTTAGTTTTCTATATTATTTAGTTTTCCAAATCCTAGTAGGATTTTTTTGTTTAATTTCCTATTTTATTTGTTAGTTTCCTATATTCTTTAGTTTTCCAACTCCTAGTAAGATTTCTAAGTTTCCTATTTTATTAGGAATAGGATTTCTGTTTTAGCTAGGGATTTTAATATTGATTAAATCTTCTTTAAACTCTCTGATTTCTGCCTGCCTTCTATCTTTTCTTCCCTTCAGCCTCTCTTTTTCTTTTCTGTCCTATTAATCTAAGTGTTTAAACTAACACACCCAGAGTTGTGCTACATTACTAGAGGAAAGATTGCACTTTATATTTTACAGTTCCAGTTGTGGTTGTTCTCATAATAATGTCTTATTTTTCTTTTCATACCATATATTCTTCAAATTAAACTATATAAAAAACATACTTGTGACATTTCACTCCAGTCCAAGATTTAGTTGACAGACGGTAGCAGATCCTACTGAATGAATTCGATATGAGGGTTCAGCAATGCAAAATGAATAGGAACATAACATCAATTAATAATGTTGAGATCAGGCACATGGCTCTTGTCAATCTGAGGTCATGTCTGGCATGTCGTATATGCGACACTTAATCAAAATAAGATATGGTTGTAACTTATTACTGGTTTCCATTCGTATCACAGTACAAAGAAAACTCTAAACTCTAAACAAATTACAATGAACTAATGCTTACTGATAAAACTCAAAACAAATTACATTGTTTTTCCACCAAATTACATTACATTACACCCACTGAACTACTGCTATTAGTCTACTCATCTCAAATTACATTGCTTACTGAACTACTGCTACTGGTCTCAAGTAGCCCAAGCTTCTCAATCACATTACACCTACCAAATTACAAAATATATTACTCTTAATTCCTCCTAATTCCTCATAATTCCTCCTAATTCATCTTCATGGCAAACACCACCAACCAGGAAAGCAACACAGCAGCCCACAATATTTTGACTTTGCTCGAATCTTGGCATTTTCCTTTTCCACCCTATCAATCTTCCTCAGCAAACTAGGTATCAAAGACATTGAACGCTCACACATTTCTGCATCAAACCACTGAAAAAACCTACATCCTTTTTCACTACTTCCCTGTATCAACCAAGAACAATGATTGAAAATTTGATCAATAAGAACTCTATCAATTTGTGATGCCCAAAACAATGACTGAAAATTTGATCTTAAACATTCTTACCTTTGACTTTGGGCAGACTAGAAATCTCCGCCCTGGGTTTGAAGTGGTCCACGAAGTCTACATCTGTGCTAACTTCCCACAATGACACCATTGGGCATGCCTTGCTTCTCATGTTTCCATCTCTTCTTCAATTCATTTAGTATTCACCTAGGGAAGAACCAGCTGAACCTCCAAATCTGAAATCCCCCTTCCCCTTTTCTCCTAAATCGTGCGATCCCCTTCCCCCTTTCCCAAATCCGAACTCCACTCAGAGATTCATAAACCCTAATCTTCTACTCCAGATTCTCCCAATTTCGAACTCCACCTCAGAGTTTTGTAAACCCGTGATTTCTTCTCCAGATTCTCCCAAAATCCGAACCCCACCTCAGATTTTCATAAGCCCTAGCCTTCTTCTCCAAATTTTCCCTTCTCACCCAAATACCCCTTTTCTGAAATTGAATAACCCTTATTCTCCAATATTAAGCTATTGAAAAGAAGTGGGGCCCAAACCAAATAACGGAACGTCTCTTAATACTGATGGAACGAATAACGTGAGACAGTTTTAAAAAGTGTATGGGGTATTTTGAGACATTCCAAAGAACATATGGTAATCTGAGACAACTTTAAAAACACAGGAAGCATGTACATAAATAAACCTTTATCTATTAATCTAACATCAATCTACATTTTACCTATTTCTTCATGTGGGGTCATTTAGCTGACAAATGGAATGAATAAATAGAAAATTTTAAAAATATTATGCACTTTAACATAAGTGATAAGTAGGGCATCGACGTGTATCAATTTCAACGCTCTGCTCGCCATAATTCAATGCTTTCTATTTTCTTTTCAAACGCCATATAGAGAAGGCTTCTATTTTAATGACTGCTACGTGTCTGCTATATGTGATATTTCAAAGGTAGGTGCCTTCATGTGGGGCAAGGAACTTGGAAGATTAACATGATGAAAAGAAAATAAGTTGCCTTTAGTTGCTCCTATGTGTGTGTGTGTACATGTGCTGTGAGCAATATAAATACAAGAAGAAGCAAAAGCTAGCCATACAACCTTATAACCCAATGGCTCATATCTTCCTTCTCATCCTCTTTTTCTCTTCCATTATCTCTACAAATATTCATGCACGCAACCAAATTGCTCCCTCTTGTCCTTCACCCTCACACTATCTTCTCCTACTTTAAATTGTAAAGATTGAGTCCATTAGGGATTTAAATGGGATCAAATCTCCTCATTTGATGATGACAATATCTCTTAATTATGATAATATCTAAATTGGTGGTATTATCTTATTAAATAAAGATAATATCTCATATTCAAGATATCATCCTTATTTTTAGTATTAATTAATTGATCAAATAAATGGACTCAATTAATTAACCTAAGGCATATTCTTCTTATCCATGCTGCATTTTGTTATTGGAGATGAAAATATATGCTCCCACAACTATCCTCCAATTTTCTTAGAAAAATCATCAACAAGAAAACAACTTGGAAGTTGTACCTTGATTCACATATCAGCCACTTGTTAAATCGTGATGAACCCTCCGAAACAAAAGATGAAATTTCAGCCAATCGTACTTTTTAAGATCTTTATTTCCCGAAAATGGAATCGCTTCTTGATAGTCTGCAAGTACACATCGTTATCACAATATGACAATATATATATATATACAGGGTATATATACAAGGTCGGTTTTGAGATTTTGAGGGCCCTATGCTAACCTTAAACTGGGGCCTCATATAAGCTAACACAAACTTGCACCGTTATGTAATGCCATACAATAAATGTTTTTTTTTTCTTAAAATGACCAAAGTACCCCTACTCCCAATGGCAAAATTGAAATTTCACAAAATAATTAAATTTCATTAAATCAATTAAATTGTATCAGGGATATTACACCTTTTGAATAATCACCATGATTGTGACAATGAGTCTTTGTCGTAATAGATCATATTCATACATTAAATATTTATAACACCGAATCTATTTTGTATCAATATTCCAAGAACATCATTAATTGGATGCAACTTTTTTGGTTGAGTTAGTTGGATGCATTATTTTTGCAAAATTAAATATCTTTTTAACACTTATTTATTTTGTATCAATATTCCAAGAGCATCATTAATTGGATGCAACTTTTTTGGTTGAGTTAGTTGGATGCATTATTTTTGCAGAATTAAATATCTGAGCATATATAAAATCAATCGTGTACCACTTTACTAACTACATTTTTAATTGAGGTGAGCCCTATATATGGAAGTCTTATCTCTATGGGCACTTGAAAAAACAAATCTACATGAGTAATTGAAGAGCTAGAGTCAAGTCAATGATGGGGACGTACGCACGTGACAAGCAATGTCTGCACATAGAAATATAGATATTATTGGAGCAATTAGAATATACTTGCTGAAGAATATATATATATATATATATATATAGTGCCATGCATGCAGTTGAGAGATTCAGTGTCATCATTTGAGGAATGAGGTGCTTAGTCGTTGGATCTATTTCAATGAAATCACGTGGTTGAGATTGAGTTAAGTGTTTAATGGTCTAACATCAATCTACATTTTATCTATTTCTTGATGTGGGGTCGTTTAGCTGACGGATGGAATGAATAAATAGAAAATTTTAAAAATATTATGCACTTTAACATAAGTAGGGCATCGACGTGTATCAATTTCGACGTTCTGCTATGTGATATTTCACGGGTAGGCGCCTTCATGTGGTGCAAGGAACTTGGAAGATTAACATGATGAAAAGAAAATAAGTTGCCCTTAGTTGCTCCTCTGTGCGTGTGCGCGTACGTAAGTTATGTGCTGTGAGCAATATAAATACAAGAAGAAGCAAAAGCTAGCCGTACAACCTTATAACCCAATGGCTCATATCTTCCTTCTCATCCTCTTTTTCTCTTCGATTATCTCAACATATATTCTTGCATGCAACCAAATTGAGCGCAGCTCCCTCTTGTCCTTCACCCTCGCATTATCTTCTCCTACTTTAAACTGGACTTTGGTTAACTGTTGTCATTGGAAAGGCATCACTTGTGATCAGGATGGTTGGGTTACCCATTTGCACTTACCCTCCAAGGGGCTCAAAGGAGGTATGTTTCCCTCATCACTTGGAAATCTCACACATCTCACCCACTTGAATCTCTCAAACAATTCACTTTACGGATCACTTCAAACTGAATTCTTCTCATCCCTGAAACATCTTGAGATCCTTGATATTTGAGTTATAACCTTCTTTCTAGAGAACTACCACTTTATCTACCATCCAGCAGTATCAA